CGCCGTAATTGCAACTACTAGCTTGTCAAATATTACCGCAAGTATTCCATAGGCCAAGAATAAAACATAAAGAATAGAAAACAATAATAATTTAAGTGTAGTACTGCAATGTGGAATTTTTTTATCCATCTCACAATAGGACTGTTTTCTTATCGGGAGTACTCAGGTGCTGGCCCCAGGCTTCAAATTCTTCTTTTAATTTGGATGTCACAGTTTGAACAGATACTTCAGTATAGTGTACTAACGGACCGTAAATTGCTGTTATGCAAGCGTGTGTTGAAGATACGCCCGAATCTTCTTCTTTGTCACATTTCTTATAACGAGACGTATAATTTCACAGTTAAGCTTAACTGTGTATTTGTTTGGCCTTTCTACGAACCAGAAGCCATACGTTCACCAAAAGTCACAAACAACTATAAATTAAATACGTCTATATCACTGTGTTACCGGAACAAGAAGCAATCAAGATGTTACTTGCATCATATGATTCATGGTCTTTCAGAACAAGAAACAATTCTATATTAGATGAAGTGTAGTGTGAATCCTCATACAAATGTGTCAAAGCAGATATACTATTCTCGAGCTCGCGTGATGCGGAATAACAAAACACTAAAATATGCTGCCAATACTACTACTGTAGGTCTCGGCGAATTCTTTAGTTAACTCGTATGTAGACAGAAGGTTCAATATTTAAATACGTGCGTTTTTCGTAAAGTTTTGAACATATTTATTCGTGTGCAATGTATTTGAGTTTCCCTACTTTTCAAAGATATTATTGTCAAATTGCCGCCTTTGCGATGGAGAGGCGTCAAAAAATCATTCAATGTGTGAATTCTTTTCAGTTTTCAACGGTCAAAAGTATTTGTTGAGATCACAAGTTTTAAGTGGCTTTTAGATGTACTATCTTCAGGTACTAAAATTTCTTTATTAGAGAAGTAAGTTGCCTAGGTAATTCAAGTAGAACATGTGTCAATGAACTGCATCACTCTTCAAGGTGCGAAGAAGTCGCAAGAGATCACAACCAGCTCATTTGCATATTTACTGTCATGTCATGGTTTCATGTCATAAACAAATGTACAACTTTAGAATTACGTTGGTCAGTGCATCAAAAGCTTTGTGTTATCTCTTTTTAATCTGCCTTTCAGTCTGTACAACAGAGATTCTGAAAGTATGCATGTCTGTCCTGTGACCCGAAATGCTCACAGTCACACTTGCTTTTCAGTGCTTTTGAAATAAATGTGAATAGAAATTAATAAATAATAATAATATAAATAATAATATATATAACAAAAATATTATACTGTGATAAACTGCGGCAACATGCTTAAAAGAACCAGAAATGCAAAATTATAATTTTACTTTTAGTTTACGAGATAAACTTCCCCACTGTTACCAGTAATTGCAGCTCGCGTCATGAGAATTCAAGTCTCCCCTCATCGTTCGCCTCTCCTGAAGCGGTGTCGTGTGAGACGCAGATTTTGTGCAGGGACCTGCGGCGCTTCGGATGACCAATTAGAGGGGTTATGTTTTGCTTCCGCTTACGGTGTTAGGAAAGTGTCACACAGGAGCGGATCCAGCCATTATTTTTCGGGGAGGTTGTATATTATTTGTGATACATATATTTATGTAAATTAATAAATGTATTTGTTATTATATTTGGATATTATTAGATATTCACAGATGAACTCTTTAAAGCAGATAAACGTCTTTTGAGATTAAAAATGAGTGGATAAAAGAGTCGTGCGTTATACTCCGCCATTTTTGCGGTATTTGCAAAAACGGAACATCATAGAGCAAGTGGACAGAAACCTTTAGAGCAAAATATATCTAAAATAAGATGTGAGAAGATGAATAATGGGATATTTACAGGAATTGTATTTTTTAAAAAACCAGTTCCAAATCAGACACGATATTTTGAGTAATGCCTCAAACAATTTAGATGTTATTCGAAGGAAGACGGGAACTATGTGAAAAAGATAGTAGTATAGCATCTCTAGTTCATTATGTGGAAAAAATAGATTGAGATGCCAAAGTGACGACGCATAAAACGACTGTCTGCTTGCGAATTCCGCAAGTCCCATGAATCCGCGGGGTGTCCACGCCGCCACAACAGTCGGTGGGATGACGCAATAACGGCGCAGAAGGGGAAGGAGGAGGGGAGTGTTTTCTCGTAAATTTTCTCTTTACGACGCTCGCCTAATTCGTACCAGGATAGTTGCATGATTGTCACGGCGTTGGATTTCAGGAAGCATGTCGCCATTCGCGCTATACAAGCTCCACATTTTTTTACTTTGTTCTCTGAAGTTTTGAGAACAAATTTCAATTGGCGTTTTTGCTAGATTTTTGTGAAAAGGTCATCGTTAGCGTGAATTATATTTTAAAAAGGCGTCAAATGCCGTTTACAGATAGAAAATCGAACCATTGTTTCAGACGTTATAAAACATGCAGATTTCTTCTTTGTGTAGTATCATGGTTATGAACTTCTGTGTTCAGAGTAACGGAATCCTTGTTTCTCATAAGTGTCTTCTTTGTGAAGATTAATATTCGGGTGGGAGTAAACATTTGCAAAGTGCACCATTCGCAGTGTATCGAAGTTTGAATTTGACTTCGGGATGTATATGGCATAACATGACTTGGTAAGCTTGTTGTTTAGATTTGTGATATGGGAGTTCCATTTTAGATCATCATTGAATAGTCAATCCAAGGAAAGTTGTGCATAAACTGAAGAACAAAAGAAGAAAATGAGATGCCAGAAACAGGTTTTTTTAACTAGAAAATTTATTGAAAGATAATTATTTGTTATTGGTTTTGATAGTACAAATAATATCACATTTCCTTGAACAACATTTGAATTACATGTTTGTAATTAAACCAAAATTGAAGTGATTGGTATCAGATAAGTCCCATCCGACTATTTGGCAAAATATTGAGGTGTTACACCCTATTGAACCCTCAGCCTTCCAGTTTATTACTGTTTAAGATTTAAGAAACATTTTAAAATAAAACAAGCTTTCCAAGTACCTTTATCACTTCTCTGATAACCTGTTTTCTATGAAATTCAATTCAGTTTCTACTTAAGAATTCAAAATTATTAATTTACAATGGTTTTTGAAAAACACACAATCATTTTAGAAGTCTTCCATGTAAATTTGGATCAAATTTCATGAAAAACTTTTTTAAAAAATGGGTGAGAGTGTTAAGTTGTTCAGTCAACATTAACTAGGGACACCTAAAAAAATTAATCTTTTGGAAATGATTTTGAACATTTGATGGTTTTTTGTATGTGTAAAATTCAGAGAATTCAGTTAAATTAACCAACATATCACAATATAGGGTCTTTACAAGCACAATACGAAACATATTCTGAGAATTCAATTAATTAGATTGATAAAATTAACACCAAAATTATTGTCTTAGACAATATTAAAATGTGAAGAATTCTTTCTTATTTTTAAAAACAATGATAATTTGAAGTACATTTTTTAATTTTATTTTTATTTACTCCATGATGTATATTACATAACATACAATTATATCACAGAAGAAACCAAAATAACACAAAAATCTTACTTCAAATTCATTATTTTCTTTAAATAAAAATGATACTTCCCCCTCTAAATACTGAGTATGTACCAAACTGAAAACTGTGTTAACAGATGAAGTTTGACAGACTAATGGGACTTTGAATGATAAGAGCACTGTACATAATTCAAGTATTCTGTATATAGTCATGTTTTTTGACACAATTCCACAGTTGTCTTTACTGTTTTTATTTTTCATATAATCTGGTAGAAACTACTCATAATTTTGCAGATCCACATAGGCTTATAGTACACAATAGATTTCCTTTCCTCCATACAAGACTCAATTCCATAATTATTTCTTAAACACTCATTCACATACTTCCAAATTACGTGCCAAAACTTACATTCAATGGTGGAACAGTTGAAATTTCAGTAACATACCTCCATATTTCATTAATTCAACCTTATCTCCATCAGGACCACAAGCTTTCCTGCTTTTTAGGAATTTTAATGCATTGACAAGCTCTTTCATATATATCATATGCCCTTTTTTTTGGTTCTTTTTCTTCATTCGGTGTATAAATTTCTTCAATCCCACTCCATAATTTTACAAAGTAATTAAAAAATAATTTCTTTCCTAGAAATTATATTTAATCTTGCTGGATCTATTTCTTCTAAATTCATTGCTTTTAATAATTAATAGACTATACTTTGTCTTTCGAAAACAATGTTGTAACACTAGTGAAATATTCAATGTATATTTGATTTAATTGATGTATAATGTTATTGCATATCAACTCTCAAAATGCATTAGTTTGATAAATTCTTAAATAATTGTTTCAAAGCAGACCATAGAATTTGAACAAAAACTGTAGAACAGATGAAATTTATATGATTATGGCTATATATTTCATTACAGTAAAGTGAAAATATAGTGGGCTGACATGTCCAAGCCAATGAACACAGAATTGTCTTTCCACCAAAAACCTAATTTTTTCAACCGCACAATTTGTTGATATGATACTGCTTTGGCATTTGCCTGGTGTTCAATGGAGAAACCTTGGAAAACTACCAATTAGAGCAGACAGCTGCTAGAATTCTAATCCAGACAGTGACTAAATACAACCTAGCTGACATGTCTTTTGCAAATTGCAAAAGCTGAACAGAGTATTATTCCATAATGCTGCAAGGCTTCATCCATTAGTGCAGTGTAATAAAATCTCAGCAACAGTTTTTTATTCATTATCCTTTTATATTTCACTTACTATAATGCCATTCATTAGAGATTCTCTCTTTACCAGCCAATTAAAAAAAATTGGTCTGAATCATCTGGCGAATGCCCAGAATACGTCTGCATATGTAATTAGGTATTACAGACTTGCATGTTCATTACCACCTTTGCAGCTTATTGAAACATTGGCATTCCTGTTTTCCGAAATGGAAAGGCAGAGTTAAAAAGATAGATCACCACAACAACGCTTAATCTATTTATATAAGACAACCCAGCATTTTTCAAATAAATATTTACGCAACAACTCATTTTATAGTCAAGTAAAAACAATATTTTTCACGATGGGTCTATCCTTCATGGAAGGAAATCTACCCGAGACAACTCAATGTATGTAATAAAATATTACATTTTGTTGTTTATGATAAAGATTGTCAGTATGTGCTAAAATTATCCACTGATCCCCCATATTCTTAGTGTTTATTTTAAAACTTGCTTAAATAATGAAGTAAAACAACAACATATTGAAGAAGGCAAAACAGATTTATGAGTATGCTCATGTTAAATCTTTGCATTATTTTATTATATTTTTGATTTTACAATTCATTCATCAAAATTTCAATTGGCAATATTATATTTCTGCCCTTAAATCAGTTTCAGAATAAGGCAGATGCGGTTATTCAGCAGATCTTGAGGGTCCTTGCGCTGATACATTAGAATAAGACATTGAATTAATTATTTCTTGATGAAAACTCGTAACAGTAAGCATACACAGAAGAGACATACCTGGAAAAATTATCATAATTAATGTTTACAGAAAAAATCCACAATGCACATTCTTAACAAGAAAAGAATGGGAGGAAACATACCAACAACAAATTTATTATTTGAGGGGGGGGAAAAAAGAAAAAAGGAAAGAAAGTTGCCTTTGGAAATATCATACTGTAGACACAGCTAGGAGCCCATTGCTGTAAGCAGGGGTGTATTGAGACATATTTTGGGAGGGAAATTCAAAATGTTTTCAGCAAATGTGTCATATTACATAATATGTTGTAAAATGTCGCAGGCTACTCTCAGCTCGTGCTGCATTATTTTAGTCATTTTAATGATTATTGGAAAATATTTTTCCTTCAAAGTCTTGTGACTAGTTGAAATTAATAGTTACTGAAAAATTTTAGGGGAGTAAATTCCCCTTCCTTTTCTCCCTGTGAATCTACATTTAATTTAAACCACTAACGCCCCCACACTGTCTATGGAGGTATTGAGGACTCATTTGAAAGCTTGGGGAAAGGGTCAACCATTCCTTTTCTGCTTCTCTGTTTCAACATATATAAATGGTGTAATCCTCTGTTAAAATTGCCTTGTGTCTTGTAACGTCGCAGTCATGGTCTTATAACTCTTCGGAAAAGGACTCTGCTATTAGTCACCAGAGTTTCCAGATGAGACAACCAACCAGGAATCTAGGAGAGAGAGAAAGAGAGAGATCAAAACTACTAGAATATTCCAAAAAAATATGCACAACCCAAATTAAGACTAATTATGGAGAACACCTGTCATTTGAAAGAAAAAATATCAAATCTCAAATTTTGTAGTTTGTAGGAAGATGTCGAAAAAATTTCAAGACTTTGGCAATTTTCAAATGTGTAGAGTTAAGAGTGAAATTTGGTCTTAAACTGGGCTACTTTCACTAATAGAACTAAAAAAATATCAATAAAAGCTAATCTTCCAACCTGTAACAATCTACTTATTATTTTAACAGATTCTGAAGGAAAATAGGACTTGCTACAGTGATATGAAATAAACAAAACAGTAGAAGGGATTTCTTTTTACAAAACAAGCCACTAAAAAAGGTATATTCCTCTGTAAATGAAGGTAAAAGTAATATCAAAATTAATTAAATTTATCGCAAACTTATTTGTAAAAATTCATTTCATTTCAACTAAATTGAATCTTTTTAATCACTTCAAATAATTTAAATTTAAATTTCATTCACGTCATAAAGTATACATGTGGAACATAGTAAGGTGTGGAGGGATAATTTCTATTCTATTCAGTAAATGTCGCTGCTGATTGGCGGGATTAACAAATCTGGGACATCAAGGTCACTCTCAATGCTGTGGAAATGTGACAAGGAATGACAATACACACCAGTAAGTTGGAGTTGAAAACATACATATACATATGTTTCCCATTTGTAATTAATCGACTATTGTTCAATCCCATAAAAGCTACTAGGCATGATGCAAAGTTTATAAATTGTGAACTATTCACAAAGAATTTAAGTTCATTATTAGTTGGTATGTATTATTAATTTCAGTAGTAATTTACAAACTTATGAAAAGAAAGGTCTTCCCTGCATGAATTGTTTAATTTCTATAGTGACCAGGTGGTGAAAAGTTAAGTTAATCTGCCGGAGGCAACTATTCCTTTTAAGGTTGTTTTAGAGTTGACTTACTCGTTGCCTCAAGTTGGTTAGAGGACAATGGGCAATAATATCATTAAATGTGGGTTTTACTGCCTGGCTGTTGGCAGGTCATTTTTTGAAACAGTCCAAAAAATAATTTATGACAATTAATTCAAGCTTATAATTATGAGGTTGCAACAGTAAGTTGGACAATAAGGAAAGGGTAACCATATCCATATGGTTGTTAAACTTTCGTGTGTTATATATAACTATTATTTAACAATATTGTTACTACTATATATTAAACGATTAGATAATGACAGATTAAGCTGATATATTAAAATTTTAATTACAAGCTTGTGTACTAATGGTGAAAAAAATTTTCCTTTTTCAGTTAATCCTTAAGGTGGTGAGAAGCGATGGCTTGATTAGTATCTGCATCATGGAATTTTGTGTGCATAGTAATGTAGCTATTGCTTATGCATTTCACAACCACTGATGATCGCTTTACAATAGTGTACTAATATCGGATAGGTTATTTAATATTTGGTAAGTTTTGTTAACTAATATATAGATTTAGTACATTATATGAACAAAACACTCATAAAAAACAGTTCCTCTACTTTATCGCATACCAACTGACCCACAAATGATGCAAAGTATTGGCCACTAAGCTCAAATTATCTTCCTCCCATACCTCCGTTCTCTCTCTCTCTCTCCTCTTCTCTCTCTCTCTCTCTCTCTCTCATCCTCCTCTCTCGTCTCCTGCTCTTCTCTCTCTCTCTCTCTCTCGCCTCGTTCTCTCTCTCTGCTCTCTCGTTCTCTCTCTCTCTCTCTTCCTCCTCTGCTCGTTCTCTCTCTCTCTCTCTCTCTCTCTCGTCTCGTTCTCTATCTCTCTCTCTCTCTCTCTCGGGTTCTCACGTCTCTCTCGTCTCTTCTCCCCTCCGGCTCTTATCTCGTTCTCCATCTCTCTCCTCTCTCTCCTCTCTGCTTCTCTCTCTCTCTCGTTCTCCTCTCTCATCGTCTATCTCCGTCTCTCTCCGTCTCTCTGCTCTTCGTCTCTCTGCTCTTCGTTTCTCTCTCTCGCTTCTCTACTCTCTCTCTCGTTCTCTCTCTCTCTCGTCTCTCTCGCTCGTTCTCTCTCTCTCTCTCTCTCCTCGCTCGTTCTCTCTCTCTCTCCTCTCATCTCTCTCTCCTCGCTCGTTCTCC